CACACTCTCTGTGTTGTGAGATTCAATCGATTAGATCAAAGTGACACGTCTAAATGTAGAGTCAATTTGTTGTGAGGAGACAGTGGATCGTGTGTTTTGACAATAAACACCTGAGGAATCGAGAGCTGGAGGGAGGGACTGTGGATGTTACAGGCAGAGATGATTGTCATATCAGTATATCAGCACTGACTGTCTTACTGTTGTCATGCGCTGCCGCTGGGCCGTAAATCTTCACATTCACACTGCTGAAATAGGACACTTACTCCAGTAGGCAGCACCATTATGGTTCTTTATTAGAGATAGTGGGGTAGCTTACATATAACGTAAAATGTAATTTAAATATAAATACATTTCAAACTCCTAATGTTATAGACTTGTGTCCTGCTGTATGCAGAAACACATTAAGTCTTCAACATGATTGTTTTCCACCTTACATTGAATCTGAACTGGTTTAGACTAACTGAATAAATGTAACGAAAAGTAGAAAAATGTTTCCCCCCCATTTTAATAAAAGCAAAGTCAAACTCTAATATAACAGGGCCAATGAAGATTTCATAATATGTATATGTATGTATTCATTCACTCACTCACTCACTCACTCACTCATTTTTGATACAAATAGTAAAAAATGCTTAAGTTTTGCATTTTTCAACTTATTTTCATTACAAATTGTATCATTAGCATAACAAATTGATTCAAAAGTTAATTAGAAAAATAAACAGTATTAACATGGATTTCAAAATGAGGAAGCAAAAATTGTTCACATGTAATTTGGTAATGTATAATAAATGTCAATAAATGTAAATAAATTTGGTAATGTAAATAAAATGTTATTTTATTTAATTTTATTTTATACTAGCAAAAATGCTTTATTTAGCATTTTTTTACTTAATGTGTTTTTTTTTTTCATTACAAATTGTATTATCAGCCCAGCAATTTAGGTCAAAAATGAATTAGAAAAATAAGCAGAAACATTAACATGGATATTTAGAATGAACTAAATGGAAACAAGAATATCTAAACTTTTTGTACAAATGTAAGTAGGCAGTTTTATCTTTACATAAGTATGTAAGAAGCCTTACTTACTATTTTTATTTATTTATTTATTTATATTTTATTTACATATTTATTTATTTATATAATTTATGTATTTATATAGGCCTATATAATCTTTTTTTCCCATTACAAATTGCATTATCAGCATTAAATATTTGAGTCAACTTAATTAGAAAAATAACTACAAATTGATACATCAACATGAATTTTTGAATCTGTTTCAAAGGAAGCAAGAACATCTTTTTTTTTGTTGCACAAACCACCCTTTTCAAATGCCACAGATGTACTTCTTTGATTAGTGACCTAGAAGTAGTGCAGAATCTTCAGTAGAACTTACGTTTGTCAAACACTGTACGTTTTTCATCAAATTTGATGAAGCACCAGATTTTTTGCAGTTTAAGACTTTTAACCCCTCTGTGTTGTGTAGGGGCAGGTGGAGGAGGGATCTGGTTTAGGGAACTGAAAGGTGAAACCCTGTTGAAACCAGTGAGTAACAGCTGACTCACTGCTCTCTAATCTGAAGGAATGATCTTCCTATTTTACATCAGTGTTTTAATTTCCACCTCACCTACAGATTCCTCATCCAAGTAAGATGGTGGAAGCCGTGCACGAGGCAGGTTCCCTCGGTTCATTCGGTCAGAGGGAGAGGGGCTGAAAGACGATTCCCACGGGAGGAATTAGTCAGCAGCAGCAATACTTATGTAAACCAACTGGTCCAAATTATCAGCTTGTTGAATCGGCCTTCAATTTACTATTCAAGTTTACTTTCTTTTTACAGTATCTGCACTCCCAAGTCTTGACACGCAATAATAAAAGAACCACCAAGCATGCATGTCACATTCTATAGGATCTGTATCCTACTATTCAGTGAATGCCAATCAGCAGATTCACTCCCCGAGGGAGCAAACGAGTTAGGTATATTGCACGATATAATGTACAATAAACTATATGTCAATACACCTCTACCAGTCCCATGGAAATCAGTCAAAGACAGTACAAGTTCAGCTCAATTTTAACAGCGCTTATGCCATGATGTTGGCTACCACAAAAATTCATTTCCACTTGTCGCTCATTTACTTAAAAAGAACAAAAAGACACTGTAATGGAAGTGGAAGTGAATGAGGCCAATCTTTAAATGTTAAAATGCTCAATGTTTCAATAATGCAGCCACAAGGCATAATTAATATGCATGATAACGTGATTTAAAAACATTTCAAAGCACTTACAGTGGGTACGGAAAGTATTCAGACTAAAAATTTAAGGGGGTCTGAATACTTTCCGTACCCACTGTATATTCATTTCCAACATAATTTCTATGACAACAATGCAAAACCCTAAAACAAATGTAAAAATGGCAACTTAAACAGTTTTAGCTCAAATACACTGTAAAAAAAATATTTTTCAAAGTTGTAAATAAAGTTTTACAAGAAACAAAATAACGATTTTAGTCAGTTCTACAAAATGTCATGGTTAATTCAGTGTTACTTGCCATTTCTTTGTAATTATTTGTGTAATTTATTTTCTGAATGAAAATGAAGAGTTCAGATGCAAAAGCTTCTAAGTGCCATCTGAAATTTTCATCTAAAATTAGCTTTTTTTTTTATCAGACTCCTATATTCATGTTCATTTATTTCACTTTAATGGCATAGAAAAGGACCTATACATTGCCATTAAAGTAAATTACTGAACCTAAACAGAGGAGCCTGATAAAAAAATGCTAATTTTAGAAGAAAATTTCAGATGGCACTTAGAGGCTTTTGCATCTGAACTCTTCAAATGGTAAATCCTAGACCATTTTTTCTATAATACACACACAGAAAAATGTAAGAGCTTTTATCAAATTATAAGCTTCACATTTCTGCTTTTAAATTCTCCAAAATAGGCCCCATTTCTTTCACTAAAAAAAAAAAAAACTATGGAAGTCACTGGCTATCCTCAACTGTTTGCTTATCAGACTCCTTCAGAATATCTTATCATACAGGTTTGGAAGAAGTGGAGGGTGAGTAAATGATGACAGAATTTTGTTATTTTTGGGAGAACTATCCCTTTAACTTGAATTGAGCCCGGAGTATTCTATTAAGTTCTTTTCAGATGCTACCAGATATGTTTATAAAAAAATAATAGAATGTTAGATTACAGCTCGGCTGATTCCAGCAAAGATCTGTAGTGTTGTAAGGAATACTGTCTTTCATCTGAGTAGCTGTTTGCAACCAAAGATTTTGAGACCCTGAGGAACAAGTTTTGTTTCATATATCTTTTTTTTTTTTGTGCCTCTGGCTGTCAAACCAGTCTTTTCCTCTCGATTAGGGTTTGTTGTTTAACGGTTCCTTCAGCTGTATTCCCCTCACCTTTCTTTTACTGTGGGTCAGTGGCTGTAATGACAGACTGCAGGTAGTGTTGACAACTGAAGTGACAATCACATGTTGTCTCATTAGGCTTGAAGAGTTCTTGGCTTTTCAGACATTAGGTATTTGTGTTTATTGTCCATTTTGCAGTCTTTTCTCCTGCCTGACCTCTTCTTTAGTGTGTCGGGGCTTAAGTCAGCCAAAAGCGCTGAGAATTACGACTTGCTCTTTCGCTGCTAATGATGGCTGTTTCTTCTCGTGTTTAAGACATGTTGTTTAACGGTTCCTTTGGCGATCTTCCTTCGCACGTCTCGTTTAGCGTGGGATGGATCACTGACTCTACTGGCAGAGAGCAGGACGTTCTGTCACTTTAAGTGAGCCACAAGTGTTGACGTTCACATCTTGATAAGCACTGAATGATAAATCGGACTGAAATACGGGTGAAAGTTTTGTGATGCACTCTTAAAAAATAAAGTTTCCAAAAGGGGGTTTTCACAGCATAGAAAAAACAGTTTTGGTTCCCCAAAGAACCTTTCAGGGAAGGGTTCTTAAAAGAACCATTTTTTGTTAGTGTGAAAAACATTTGAATAATCTGAACCTTTTTTCCACTGTGGAGAACCTTTTGTGGAATGAAAAGTTTCCATAGATGGTAAAGATTCTTTGTGGAACCACTGATGCCTTTATAAAGAACCTTTATTTTTAAGAGTGTGCATTGCATCTCTGCCATCATAGCGAACATTCATCAAATTCATTCATTGGATTTTTTAATTTCATGGCTTTAATTTTGCTTTTAAGTTGTTTTAAATGAGTGACGTATATTGCTTCAGTCTTTAATTTATAGTGGATGGTTACTTTTCAGTATAAAGTTTCAACCAGAAAAAAAACACAATAAAGAGACAATTCATCCAAAAATTTAAATCCTTTTATCATTTACTCATCTTTGTGTTGTTTTAAGCCTGCATGCAATAACAACAATATAATTTTTTTTACATTTTTCAAAATATCTTTTGAGTTCAACAGAAGAAAATCATACAGATTTGGAATAACATGAATGTGAATAAATGACAGAATTTTAACGACAAAGTGCTATTTTAACTTATTTAATTATATACAATTATAGTATTCGTTAATATTTCAAATTAGCTTATATTTTTAGTTCACTTATTTTTCATTTTAAGTTTATGTTTTAGTAATTTTGTTATGTGCTTTTGTCATTTGATTGTTTTTTTTCTATTTAGATTTAATTTATTTTATTTCAGGTTTAGTCATTTTAGTACTTCAACTTATATTAGTTCTCAAGGCAACATTTCTATTTTTTTTAAGTTGAAGGTTTTCATCTTATGTTTATTTCTTGTTTTACTTCAGCTTAATTTCAATTAACAAAAACCATTTGTTACTTAACCAAACAACGCCGTTTGGTTGAACTATTTCCTTTAACCATAAATATGTAACAGCACGTTAGAATTTGCGAATATGCATTTTTATTTTGGCAAATGCAGTATATATTACAACCACAAAAAGTGTATAAAGTGAACAATACAAATACAAAATATTGAAAAATGGACAAATTCAAAATGTATGTCAAAAGTCAGTGCATTTACGTATGTTCCAGGCTTCAATTGAACAGAATTGCAAAAACATAACACAAACCACAACATAAAAAACGGGACTGAGAGCAGTAGCCCGAGGCGATTACTGTTGTCTTTCAGCTGCAACATGAATTAGATGATGTCAGCAGGTGAGTCTGAGAAGAGCGTGTGAGAGCGTTCACACAACTGTCTGATAGAGGGAATCTCCTCTGCATCCACTCGGACCTGCTGACTCAGGCACTGCGGTGGGAACTTGGCTCACGATGCAGGCCGACCGCTCCCTCAAGTGTTCACCTGACGGCGCTATGTCCCATGCTACACCTCTGTTCCCTCCCGCAGATACAGCAAGTCAGAGGGGCCCAGCACTGGATAGAGCTGGCTGCTGTACTGGTTGAGCATAGAGTCACTATAGCTGTCTGTGTACGAAGGGGGCGAAGTGGAGACGTTGGATGGGAGGGGATGAGGGATATGGGTTTCCCATTGCGGCACGGTAGCGCTCGGCGAGTACGAGCCATACACCCCAGGCGGAGAAGATCTTTGGCTCAAAGGCAAAGCTAGGGGAGATGGGAGAAGAGCCTCTCTCGAGCCTGAAGCCACATCACCCATTTGACTTAGAAAGCCATTGAGACACGGAGTCGGATCTGTGGAGACCGGAGAGTTTCCTCTCTCTGAGGAGTCGCTGGGCTCTTTAGGACTCGATAGAGCCGAGTCCGACCCAGAATAGCCTTTTCCCTCCTCTTCAGCCAGAGAGTCAGACTTTCTCTTCCTCTTGCGACGGAAGTTGCCATTATCGAACATCTTCTCACAGTTTGGGTCAAGGGTCCAGTAGTTTCCTTTACCTGTTAAATAAAGAAATGTATTTGTTATTTTGCCAGTTGAAAAATGATCTAGAACTAAACTAAAACCCAAGCAGTTACAGAAGAAGAAACATGTTCTGACCTGGATCGCTGTCATCTCTGGGCATTTTCATGAAGCAGTCGTTGAGCGAGAGATTATGCCGGATTGAGTTCTGCCAGCTGGCTTTGCTCTTGTTGTAGAAGGGGAAGTTGTCAGCCACATACTGGTAGATCTGGCTGAGAGTGAGGCGACGGTTTGGGGCTCCGTGTATTGCCATCGCAATAAGGGCTGAGTAAGAGTAAGGAGGCCTCACGAGTTTCATCAGATCTTCTTGGGAAGGCAGGGAGAACCAGCTGAAACTACCGTCCGAGCCCCCGATTCCGCCTGCGGCCACGTACGGCTTCGTCATCCCGTAGTGCTGAGGCCCTCCGCTGAGACACGGAGCCGGATTGAGCCCGGGTCCGTTGAACCACAGGTAAGGGTTGGAGGTCTGGCCGGCGTATTCTCCGAAATCGTAAGCGGACGGTGGGGTTTGCTGTGGACTAGGCACAGGCTGAGTGCTGTAGAAGTTGTCACCGTACAGGCTGAACTCTTGGGACTCCGGCCCCATGCTGTGGAACTGGGGTGAAAGGGCTTGAGGAACAAATGACGTCATGCTTTCCTCCTATTTCTTCTGTTTGTTCTGTCGTTCTGAGGGAAAACACCTCCTTCTGCTCTGCTGCCTCTGTCTAACACAGGTGGATTGGTCAGGTGCATCACAGCCTGACACCTGTCTCACCTGAACTATTTATACAAGTTTTGTAACACCCTCTCTGCTCTGATTGGCTGTTACGGTCACACCTCAGCGCTCATTTGTTTGAGGGGTGGTGTGTGTGTTTGGGGGGGGTGATATATCAATAGAATATTTTAAGTTTCATGAGTGACTTGGATGGATTAACTTGGTTAAATTCTGGAGTTAAAATGGTTTTATATTACATAAATATATAAATAGTTCTTAACATTCATATCATTACACACAACACAGAACCTTTTATATGTCACATATGTTGAATTAAGGTAAAATGGAACAGTTGTGGCAGTTAAAAGTAACACAGTTTACCTGAATATTTCACACTATAAAAGTAGATTATTGTGTTTTAACCTGAGCTATTACAGTGAAATGATAGATAGATAGATAGATAGATTCGTAAATTCGACAGTGAAACAAGTGCTGGCAAATTTAAATAACTAATTTTAAGTTGATACCCATGTGGTTTCAGTGAAATGATATTAAAGATGCACCATCATGCAGTTGGCTTAGTTAATTGTTTACTTTTTAAGATCACTAACCCCACCCCCTTTCACTTGAGATAATGCGAATTCAATTTGAGCCATTCGTGTCTCAATCGTAATTTACATTCTAAAGCATAGCGCGCGCACCACCCATTCCTCCGCGCGCCGATCAAGCGATTCCTCTGCTGTCTCGGAGGCGTAGCCTCATCGCGCACGATTAAGCTACGTTTTGATTTAGCCATCTGGTGCATGGTGCCAGTTAAAAGCTATTTTTAAACAAATCCAAACCACCTTTAAGGTGCGCTCACATTTAGCGTTGTTCGACGAATTTTGGTGGAATCATTCAATATTTTCGTGAGGACGATAAAGTTCCCCCCATATTTCGCTCGATCATTTTCACATTGGTCACGTGAATCGCTGCGTTGACTGTACCGAAAGCTGCTTGGTGTGAAAGTGACTTTGTGTGAACAGTGTTATATCGCTACGCTAGGATTTAGTTTGCCAACGAAATATTAAATCAGATCGTAAAATATGTAGGCTAATATACATTTTATAAAATATGTACATTACCTTCAACTGCAGCAATGGACAGGTGTGTATCTGAAATCTCTCAAAGCACATGATTTTGGAGGAAAAATGGAGATTTAAATATTTTTTATTTATGAGTTAGCTAATTCTTGTATCATGGAGTGTTGTCATGTCCGCGTACTATAGAATAATTATTGTTTTTAGTTAAAACTTATTCTTTTTTCTTCTAATCAGATTCATGTTATTAAGGATGATAAAAATTAACCAGTTTTAATATCCATAAAAAAAAAGAAAAAGTCATTTTCGGTTTGTTTTACGAGATTTGGCAACACAGACCGCAATCAATCCTGAATAACATAACTGGGTACGATAGCCTAGCCTTCTGTAGCCTAAGTGTAACGTTAGTTAAGTATTTAGAAACCATATAACAAAGAAAAGCACACATATATCAGACACAATATTCGCATGACAGTTTTTCAGGAACGAACACAGATATGCAGTTTTTGTTTGCAGCTTGTTGCTTCGACGTCATATGTCAAAGTCATGTAACCGAATCCTCTTGTGTGCATAGATGTGTTGTAGACTAAGCAGTTTGATAGGCCTGAGAGCATGTAGGGAAACGGTGACCAGCGTTTTTCCTCTAGAAAGGGAGTCCTCAAATTATTAATGGCAGACAGAATGATTTCACAGAAATAAGCAACAAAACACAAATCCTTGTTGATAGTTAACGCGATGTAATCCTCTATCAGTCCATCACGCCACGTACACGTTCTTGTAGAATTATAAAATCTTTATTGCCATGTCAATTACAGTTCATTTTTCATGATCACACAAATATAACATAACAAATAAACCGTGGAACAACTGAAATAAAAGACAAAGAGATTAGTTTGAGAAATAACGAAAACGGTCCTAATATTGATAAAGTACTGATTTATCATTTTGTTTTTAATATGAACACGTATTCAGTACTGTGGAATGTGCAGCTATGCATTCAAAATAATGTTGTACAGAGTCATATTTGTTTACAGATCTTTTGACAGTTATGAATGGTGTTTGAGAAAAAAAAACTGAATGAAATGTAATAACTGAAACTAACTGTAGTCTCATGTAGAATAAAGGTTTAATATACAGCTGGATAAATCAGAGCACACTGGTTCTGTTGGCTTGCTTCTCGGTTCTTAGCATTAATAAGAAGGAGTGGCATGTGTTTGTGCTGGCTGATAATGTCGCTGACCTGTTTAAAAGTCTGCCAAAAACAATAGTGTTACAAACATTAGTCATTATGCATGTAGCTATGATTAAGGACATAAAAAAACAAGTTTTGATACCTCTGAGGATTTCAGACCAGTGCCTAGCATAAAGCCATCAGGATTTCTGCGGATCTGAATGTTGTAAACTTTATCCTGGTACAGGACCACAAGCGTGTAGGGCTGGTTTGAAGATTGATTTGAACTGTCTCGCACAAGGAACGTCCCGTCCTGACAGAGGGCACATTTCAACAGATTAACTTTGTTAACCTGATATCAAGAATGACATGACATTTTTATTTCCTAAAGTTTTTAAGCATGTAAGAACGCAAACTTTTAAGTGCCATATACACAATGGTCTCACCCTGTTAACTCTTCTCAGGCAGCTCTCTGCCTCACCGCGGGTGACCTGACCCACATACCAAGCTGGATCCATGTCCTATAAATGGAGAAATAATAGTATTAGGGCTGACAATGACTAATGAGCAATGTTTGTCTGTTTTTTCTTATCTGAGAAAATAATGATTCATTAAATCCAAATATTTTACAAAGAAATAATAGTGCTATAAACAAAATTCATCTTAGAACAGGATGGTATTTCTTTATCGGAACAGATTTGGTGAAATTTAGCATTGCATCACTCACTGGATCCTTTGCAGTGAATGGGTGCCGTCAAAATAAGAGTCTAACAAACAGACTAATAGAAACAAGTAATTCACAAGTAATTCACACAACTCCAGTCCATCAATTAATGTCTACTGAAGTGCAAAGCTATGTGTTTGTAATAAACAAATCCATCATTAAGACATTTTTAACTTCAAACCACATCTTAAATATCCATAATATTGCCAGTTAAGAAGACATCTAGTCTAAATCAGGAGAGAAATATGCACATATCAAGCACTATTTATAAGCAAAAACAGTCCAAACCCGTTTTAAACAAATATGTTGGTGGATTTTGATGTGACAGAACAACAAGGAGATGGACTTTTTTACTGGAGGAAGCATTATTATGGATTATGGACTCCATAATTTGGTGAGAAGTGATGGTTTAAAGTTAAAAAGCCTTAATGATGGATTTGTGTCTTACAAACACGCAGCTTATCACTTCACAAGCTGTTAATTGATAGACTGGAGTCATGTCTATCACTGTGATGTTTTTATGAGCGGTTTGGACTCTCATTCTGACGGCACCCATTCACTTCAGAGGATCCACTGGTGAGCAAGTGATGTAATATTAAATTTCTCAAAATCTGTTCCAATTAAGAAACAAACTCATCTACATCATCATGGATGGCCCGAGGGTGAGTCAATTTTCAACAAATTGTATTTTTGTTTTGGGTGAGCTCTTCTTTTAACTGATACTAGAAAGTGGACTCCTCTAGCACCTCGAAGGAAATGAAATGCAATACAAAGGCGCCATCTGCTGGTTGATGTGTAGCGGTGCGATTGTTTGTCAGCAGCTCAAGCATTTCAGCCTACTGTACCTGCTTGCCGCCCATATCTGCTGGAGGAGGTGGTGCTCTTGCGCTTCTTCGGTGATCGCTCATTGCTTCCGTTCAACAAAATAAAGGATTCAATGACTTATTTTCATTAAATGTATAGTAAGATTAATCAAACTAATGCAATGCGTGCTCACCCTCCTGCAGTTTTGCCGGTAGTGATCGACTGGGGTGAGCACTGTGAAATGTGACAGAAAACTAGTTAAATATAATGGAGTAAATAATATTTCTTGAATAGTGTGAAATCTGACCGCCTACAGTCGGGTGTTCTCATTCGAATACATACTTGTCTGTTTGATAGGACTGTCCGTGGGTTCCTGGCGGTCTTGGTGAAGGGTTCCTGGCGTGCAGTGGAAATGTATTGGAGTTGTGCCTGGCAGCTGTAAGAATTGAAACTTAATTAGGGTTTTAAGATTTTTTTCTTTACTGATGATAATAAAGCTTATAACCATCTCATCAAAATATGAAAATACACAAAACATGATAAAGTTACTTACTGTCATCATGAAACTGTTGAAGAAAAAACATTAAAATTAAGTGTGAGTCATATCTCTCTCTTTCTCTCTCTATATATATATTTGTGTGTGTGTGCTTAATGTGATTACCTCTTTTCTGTGGTCAGGTTGTCTGTTGGAAAAGCAAAGTACAGGTTACAGTCTTTTTCTTTGTGAAAAGAATGTGCAGTGTAAAGTTATTTCATTTTTTATTTGAAAGAATCTGACCTGTTTTGAGAGTAGCCTGGTGTAACAGAGGAGGCGCTTCTGCGCACCCCTGATGGAGGAAGTGAGGGTTTGGGAATTCTCATTGGGTCTCCTGGCGGCTCCACTGCAGGGAGTCTGAAGCAAATGAAATAAAAGCAAATAAAACCATTCTGAAAAATGGATGACAAATTAAATCAGTAATTTGCAACTGCTATAAATAGTGGATTCTATGTACACAGATGTACAAGAGAATGTCAACCTTTTTAAATAGTAAATTATACTACTAAATATTATCGTACTAAAGTGGCATGTGCAGTTATTTCTGTTTTATCTATAAGAGAGGAAATTAAAGGAAACCACTGTACCTTCTTGGTAGGCTTGGTTGGCCAGCCTACATGAAAAAATAAATTATTAAAGAAATAGCATTTTACAGAACCATTGAAATGTAAAGTTATTATGGTGTACTATATATAAAAAAATAAAAATGAAACTTTGA